CTAATCTAACAGAACCAGTACTAATCTAACAGAACCAGTACTAATCTAACAGAACCAGTACTAATCTAACAGAACCAGTACTAATCTAACAGAACCAGTACTAATCTAACAGAACCAGTACTAATCTAACAGAACCAGTACTAATCTAACAGAACCAGTACTAATCTAACAGAACCAGTACTAATCTAACAGAACCAGTACTAATCTAACAGAACCAGTACTAATCTAACAGAACCAGTACTAATCTAACAGAACCAGTACTAATCTAACAGAACCAGTACTAATCTAACAGAACCAGTACTAATCTAACAGACCCAGTACTAATCTAACAGACCCAGCTGGGTGAGCTCCAGCTGTAACGTTTCTGAATCTTCTCCTCGTGTTCAAACGCTGCTGCAGCCGTGAGATAAAGAGTCCAAAAATCGAGGTCTGTCTGTGATTTGGAGCCACTGACCCGTCCTGTGTCTGTCTGTCTGTGTGTGTGTGTGTCTGTGTCCTCAGCAGTGAACCAGGAGGGACGACCTCTGATCGAAGGGAAGCTGAAGGAGAAACAAGTTCGCTGGAAGTTCATCAAACGCTGGAAAACACGTTACTTCACCTTGGCAGGAAACCAGCTGCTGTTCCGCAGAGGCAAATCTGTACGTAGCTAACGATACCGACCAATCACGTCACATGACACGACACACACACACGTGCACCGATTGGTGGCTCGTTTATTGAACCCTCATACGGTTAGAGACGGTCGGTGGAAATCCTACGTCAGGATTGGTCCGACCGTCCCTCAGGACCACGTGGTGAGTCCACGCTGCTGCCACCAGGTGGAGTCCATTAAAATCGTCTCTACTAAAACATGCTCTGACGAAGAGGAATCCACATTAAACTTGTTGCCTGTGAAGACACATCACAGCCTCATCTGACGGCAGCGCGGCTTTAATCCAGTCCAGACCAAGTGTGATGTCAAACTGTATCCAGCCCAGAGCTCACGGCTCACGCCTGTGTTCCCAGCGTAAATTAAAAAACAAAACAAAAAAAAACCCACATGTCGTCCTGCACACAACTCTGTTCTGTTCACGATCTCACAGAAAAGTAAAAATAGAAAACTGAAAAATAATTAGAAATAAACAACGATCACTGCAGCCTCCAGCCCTGCAGCTCGTTCTGGTTCCGTGGTCATGACCTCAGCACCGGTCATGACCTCGGCACCGGTCATGACCTCAGCACCGGTCATGACCTCGGCACTGGTCATGACCTCGGCACTGGTCAGGTGGGGTCTAAGACCCGGTGCAGCTAACGAGACACAATCACCGACAGATAAAGGATTCGGTTCTGTGTTCAGTTCTACGAAGTCTAAACGTTTCCTGTTGTGAATGTTTTTTTGCTGAGGGCAAAGGATTTCGGGGGAAACGCCGCCACCCAGTGTTGTGGTGCAGAAATGATGTGGCCACAGGTGGTTTTCATATTCCACCAACTTCTCACAGAGAGTCACTTCTATCTGGAGTCAATTCACATGACCACGACCGTTTAAACTGATGTCCTATTATGTCTGCGTTAAGGTCGCCCCCTGTTGACTCAATGAGTATAACTTTAAATATATCAATGAAACCACTAACAACTGCCCCCCCCCCCCCCCCCCCCGCCCCCCGTCTCCCCAACAGAAGGACGAGATGGACGACCTACCAATAGAGCTGAGCAAAGTCCAGAGTGTGAAGGTGAGGACGTCACACTGACGCCAACACCAGTACCAGTACTGGAACTAATACTGGTACTGGTACTAGAAAACATGTTGACGCTAACTCCCCCCAGGCTCAAGCACTGGTCACAAAATACTTAGAAGATGGTATTGGTAAAAAATGAGTAACGCTGTCTGCTAACACTGTCTGCTAACACGGTCTGCTAACACGGTCTGCTAACACTGTCTGCTAACACTGTCTGCTAACACTGTCTGCTAATACTCGTCTCCATTTCCCTCAGGTTGTGGCCAAAAAGCGGCGTGATCGAGGTCTGCCGCGGGCGTTTGAGATTTTCACCGACAATAAGACGTACGTGCTGAAGGCCCAGGATGAGAAACACACAGAAGAATGGCTGCAGTGCATCAACGTGGCTGTGGCTCAGGCCAGAGAGAGAGAGAACAGAGAAGCCACCACCTACCTCTGAGACGGACCACAAACCCACGCACCACCGGGGGGGCAGGTAGTTGTGGGGTCAAAATGGGGCGACAAGCCAACAAAGGTGGTGAACCACTGTACTGGACCGCGGCGCTAACTGGTCCAACACCAACATCCTGACAACAGGAAGTCACCATAGAAATCACTCGTTCATTCTTTACTGGAACAGATGTGAACAAACGCCACTTCAGGGGCAGAACGTCAGTGACGTCACCGTCACGTCTGCAGCTGCCCGTGTTGGAATTCAAATGTTGCAAAAGAAAAAAGTGGTTATTTTTACTGCTGGATTTTCAGCACTTACTTTGGGACGGCCCCTCCGCGCCCCCCCAGGGTTCCGACATTTCCAGTAAATATTCCACTCATATTATTTTCTACTTTGTCTTTGTACAAAAGCACAGTTTCGCAACAGGACCCTGGAAGAGTGTGCGCCGCGGCGAGAGCGCTCTGTTGAAAGACGGAGGCTATTTTTGGGCTTTTCCAAACAGGACAAGTCTGCAACGATTTAGTCCACGTTCACAGGGAGGCCTGTCAGCGCCACTGTTGCTTCACAGCAAGGGAAACGTTGGAGTCAATTTGTGGTTTCCTCGTGGCATTAGTGACAGTTCCAGTTCATCGTACTGTTTTACGAGAATTCAACGAGGGGTTTTGTTTCGACAGACTGTGAAGGCCATTTCTCGTGGGCACTGAAGCAGTGTTTTACTCAGAGGTTAAAGGTCGAGGCGGGGGTTTGTTTTGGTCGAGGAAGTGAACACATCACACGTACTTAGACCCAGAACTCCAGTCTCTCCTACAGAGTTCTTAATCGCCGTCTGCTCCGTAAGAAAATTCCTCCCCTTCTCTCCTCACCTATTACAGAGTGGGAAACATGTTACTCCCCCATGTTGCACTGCTGCCCCGACACAGACGCCCTGAATGTTTCCCGACCCATTAAACTCAGCCAAGACAAATCAATGCTCTGATATTCGTGGTGTCTCCAGAGGAGTTCTCCGTCTCTGTCTGGCTGCGCTCGAACGTTTGTTTCATTGAGTTATCAAAGATATAGTACCTTCAAAAAAACTGCCAAAAAAACTCGTCTGTTGTCATAATGAAAGTCAATCTTAAAAACAGTCACAACTTTGTACACGTTAGCCGTTAGCCACTTATAAAACATGCTGCTATCCTGCTCCAGATATTCTACAGAACAAAACACGGATATTCACATATTTGTTACTTTACTCTGTACTTTAAAGTACTGCTGTGCCAAAGCTAGCCTCGGAGGCTTTGAGCTAAAGCTAATGTGTGACGTATTATTGCGTTAAGCTGTTTTTATTCTGTTGTTTCTCCAACGATGACCGGAAGTGACCAGTTTTCATTATTATCTGCTGATCAGTTCATGTTGCATTTACTGCCTCATTTTTACATCTATTTATAGCACAGTGAATTAAAAATGGAAGTCTGTATGAATGTGTACAGAATGTGTGAGTATATGTGAGTATGTTACTAACACAAGTATTTAAATTTTAATATACAAAAAAATATTTTTCAGCATTAACAGGAATCTTTAGTTTCTCTTTTTTTAATTCCGTTGTGAAAGTGTTGTTGATTTACGTGTGTTTTTGATGCTAGGATTTTCTTTCACGTTACCTTTTCATTATCGTCACGACTGTAATCAGTGAAGACAGTAAACAGTAAAGAACGTCAGATTCACTTCTTCTCATTTCCCCCTTTTTTCAGTGATTGTTTACTAGTGTTTGACTAGTAGTCCATACAAATAAAGGCTGTATTTCACTTAACTATTCATCTACTGGTGTTCATTAGCCGGCAGCACAATTAGCATGTCTGAAACTTTATCTATAACTTATTTATAAATCCACCCAAGAGAAACAAACACATGTTCTTAAAGTGGACAGTGGATAACATTCTACGACAGTTTAGAGTTCACGTAAAGAAGCGACGAAACTCACTCATTAACCTTGACTTCCGGTGTTGCTCCATCGGTGTTCGGCTAAAAGAATACTCCAGCGAAATGGCAGATCTTGAACTTCTTGGTAGGAACCACGGGCAGAAACAGGTGCGCAGTAATAAACGTGTCCGTTCTCCGTGTTGCTGGTATGGTTTAGGTTTAGGTTTAGGTCCCGCCGGTCTAGATAAATTACTGAGCTAAGTTTTTGTAAGGTTTATAAGACAAACGTGTTTGTGACGCAGGAGAATTTAAACTTTCACTGGACACAAATTTACACGACTTTCAGAACAAACGGCTGCTCACCCTGTGAACATACCGGTGCCCGCCACCGGGGGCACAGGTTATTAAAACGAGCCTCTTACGAGACGCTGTCTTACTCAGTAGTTTGGCCCCGCAGACGCCACCTTCCGGTCGTACACTGTAACTCACAGTGACGGTGACAGGGCCCATACATACAACCTGTATACACTGGGTCAAGGCAGATGTGATCAGTTAACGGTTTTACAGTGACGTCATCAGGTATGTGTAAGTGTGAGAGCCAAGGTGTTTTTTTTAATTACTGCAGGGGGTTCGCGGGGCTGGGGCAGCAAGAGTGGGAGTGAGTAACGAGTTAAAATGTTCTTTTCAAATACATGAGACTTAATTTTGAAATGTAAACACCACAGTAGGGGGCGCTTAAGAAACGTAACTGTTTCGTTATATACATAGCAGCGTGGAGCTCATGGTTAAAAAAAATAAAACAACAAAAAAACACGTGACGGCAGCAAACGATCCAGCTGCAAAACATGTATCTTTGCCTTACGAGCTTTAACTAAAACATGTCTTAACGCACACATTCACCAAATGATTTATTAATTTAATTTAATAATTAAACTTATTAGGACCATAGCGTTCCATTCCATCACGTCACGTCGTTTTAAAAAGACTAAATGTTACTGGCTTAAGTGAAGCCAGCAGTCAGGCCGAATATATTCCTCAGCCCAACAGCACCCTCTAGCGGTTAAAACATGTTTCCATTCTGTATTCGTTAATCATCCGGGAACCCTGGAACAGATCTCAGCTGGATTTTCAAACTACATCAGGATAAATCTACAGTAGTACTAGAACACTATTTGAATAAGGGTTTCTCTGTAAGACGTGAAACTTGACACAGATAAACAAAAAATGTAAATCAGTGGCATAACTAATTTTTTATTGGATAAAAATTGGACATGTACACGTGCAGACTTCAAACCAGTTTAACAAATGCAACCTTAAAATTATTTTGGAATTAAGTCTGCAAGCCCTGCTGTAAAAAAAAAAAAAAGAAAACCAGTTGGCTTTTTTTTTAACTGTACAACACCACTAAAATGCACCTGTTCAAAGATGAAGCCCTAAATCAGAAGGAACAGAAACTCGCCTGCCAGTCCTTTATGTGCAAACTTCAATCTTTCCTGAAGAATCCTTTTCATTTGACATTGTTTCACTGTGAAGTTTGCTTTTATAAATCAAAGCCTTCACATTCAACCTCTGCATATAAATCCAACTTTACACTGTAAATATTTTTTCTCAAGTCAAAGTTTCACAAGTAAAAACAGGAGACATACAACAGCATCAACCCACGGGGACGAAGAGCCAAATGTACGTGGAATGATGAAAAACAACATTAAATCTGATCTGTGACCTCTGACACAAAGTCCATCCACTAAACCTTCAGTCTACATCTTTCTGGTGTTTACTGTAAACACCAGTTCCTCCGCTGCACAGGTTAGCTCTACAGTGATGAACACCGCCACCAAATATTAGCTACAGGATCTGCTGTGTTACTAAAGTCCTGACAGGACTTTTCATCACTGTGCAAGTAAAGGGTTAACAGCAGCGTCTCCCAATTTTAAATCTTCAACATGATTTTCTTTTGGACAAACTTACTTTGAAACAGGTGTTTTAGACTCCAGTGAACATAAAAAAAAAAAGAACATTCATGTAGGTGATGTATTTTAAATGATCATTTTCACACATCCCAATATGAAAACTGGTTAAATGAAACCCATGTTGTTCTGTAAAACGGGCCTGGATCTTCAGCTGACAGGCCAAATATATTTGGTTTACTTCAGTGGACGAAGGGCGACTTCTAAACAAAAACTTGTTTGTCAACATTTCAACAGAGAAACTGTCATTTATCAGTTTAACTACAGTGAACCCGACAGTCAGAACCTGTCAGGAATAATTTAGGTTCCAGTCTCTTGAAAACGTGTGCATGATCCTCGACCCAGAGTCTCAGCGGCGGTGACGACTGTGTCCTGAGTGTCCACTGCTGCTGTGGTGTTTGCTCTTGTGGCTGCGCTCCCTCTCTCTGTCCCTGTCGTAGGACCGGGACCTCTCCCTTCTGTCGCCGCGGTGACCTCCGCGCTCATGTTTGTGTTTCTTTGTGGACAGGTCGTAGGAGGCGCGATCTCGCTCTCTTTCCCGTTCCCGTTCTCTCTCGCGCTCCCTGTCCACTTTGACTGGTGTACGGGATCGTGAACGAGAGCGCGAGCGTTTCCTCTTGTGACCAGAACCTCCACTGTTGCTATGGCGTCCGATGGTCTTGGAGTCGTTGCTGCTGTGGTGACTGCTCTTGGACTTCAGGTGAGGGAGAAGGGGTGAAGGTGGGTGTCGGCGAGGAGACAGACTACGGCTGTGTGAGCGGGAACGGGAGCGTGAACTGTAGGTCCCAGAGCGACTCCGTCTGCTGTTGTAACTGGTGGATGAAATAGAAACATGAATTCATTTAAACATTTTCTCCAAACACCAGAAAAGGCAAAACTGTGGAGATTTTAAAAAGTAAAACAGAATCAAACAACAAACATGCACTTCAGAACTCTAGACCTTCACTTCCTATTCTGTGTTTTATGGTGATTGACAGGTATTCTCTGTCGTTCTGCTTCCAAGCTATAAAAACTTATTTACGGATGTACAATTTTACATTCAGTAGAACGTTGTGAAGGTAATTGTTGGTGGCGCTAACTCTAGAAAAACTGTCGACCACTGTAGTTGGTAAAACAATGTAATATTTGCAGTATAGAAATGATCTTACTGTCTTCGAGGTGATCTGGATCTTGATCGAGAACGTGTTCTAGAGCGGGATCGACTTCCACTCCTGCTGTTTCTGCCGATCTTCACTTCTTTTCGCAACCTGGAGGTAAAGTACAGAGGCAACTTAAGATTTATGGAATTACAAATATCAGCATCGTTCAGACGTGGCTCTGACGACAGGAAATGTCTGAACATCTTTATTATACAGACATACATGAACACACCAACATCAGAGTCAACTACACCGTGACAAAAACAAAATGGTCTCTTACCCGTTGTGGGGACTTTTGTTGACTTGAGTCCGATTATCTGGTTCCTTCTTAACCTGTTTGAGGGTCTGAGGATTGGGGGACTTCTCATCTACCTTGACAACACTAGGGGAGTTAGGCTTGGAAGCAGGGGAGAAGCCTCCGAGAGTGGACAGAGCAGGGGTTCCATCAGGATTCAAACCTTTGGCCTTCAGCTTAGCTTCAGCCAAATACATCTTTCGTCGATCCACCTCCTTCTCTAGCTGCTCATAGTTGGGCTACAAATAACAAATTAACTATTATTTTACATACACACACATGAACTGATTAAAAAAAAAATTACACAACAGTCATCACTGTCCACAAGAGGGTGCTGTGCACAGTAGGGGTTAAACTTTCTCTCTTGACTATATTAAATCTGACAGGCCTGGGAGATTTTCTACTTTTCAGAAAAAGTACCTTCTTCCTGGTGTAAAGCTTCAGGGTGGTGATGCAGACCTCTTTAATCTCATCTTCAGTGACACCAAACAGCAGGTACCAATGAGGCTTGGTGGGCAGAGGTATCTGGGGAAAGATGGCATCAAACGTCTCAACACTAGCATTAGCTGAACAGACGGCCAATGACAATGGACAAAAAAATAAAAACACTTTTGGCTGAAACACTGTTTCCTCTCACCTGCAGAGCCCTGGCAGCGAGGTATATGCAGGCACAGGCGATGGTCTCAGCTTGGAACCTCACAAACACATTGGTCCTCAGGCTGTCGTTCATGTAGTTCCTGTGAGGGCACAAAGAACACAGGAACAAAAACATAGCATCTTCTCTAAACAAAGGACAGATCCATGTTACTAATGAACAACATGTCATTTAGATCAAACATCTGTGTCATTCAAATATTCAATGTATACAAATTAAATTGATTTCAGTCCCAGTTGGCAGTAGGGTTAGCTCGTTAACTCACTGACCGGTTAACGTTCTATATCAGTAGTCACTGACTTCAATTTAACAACATATGCTGTGATAACAGCACTGCTGAATATTTTATATATTTATAAATCCTGTGAGGTATTAATAACATACTGAATTGGTAAATGTAACTTTGTCCATTTCTCTCTGGGGCATCCATGCGAGTGTTATGTCACAGACAAAGCATGAGGACGGTAAAGACCTGCCATTTGACCACAACATGACCCTGGAGCTATGACATGTGGCCCTGATGAACATCAAGACAATGACAGTTGTCTTGTAGAGTGGCAGCATGCATGAACAGATGAACATTCACCTTTAGTGCAGCCGACACCTGAAGACTCATCACCTTAGGTATTAATGACAGACGGCATGTTGTGATCCAGAAAGCATGAGCGTGTGAAGCAGTGTCACGTTGGATCAATGACATCACTGAGATACTGTTCTGTCAACTACATTCTTGGTCTTGTCTATGAATATCCTGTCATTTCAAACTTTGGTATTGAAAAAAAAAAAAGATGAGGAGCTGCCACCTTCAAAAACTCCATCAAGTGGCTGAAAAAACATTTTCTGATTCTAAACAGTTATGTAATAAAATCAGTTAGTTGTGCAGAAAAGTTGATAAATGCTAGTAACCACTGAGGAAGGAGAAGCAATGGCCATGTCAAACGGGAAAATAGTCAGGAAAAAAAGCTCCCATAGAAAAGGCCGGTAAATATTGATATTGAAAGTCAATGTTGATTCCACTCAGGTTAATACAAAGACAAACTGAACGTCGTGACAAAACACTGACACTAAGGAACTTTCTTCAGGGTAAAGTCTCGTCTGTTTGCCAGTATATTAGCTCAACTGTTCTACAGAGATAAAAATGAGAGGCTTGTTTAAAATGTCTCCCTTTCCTGTTTGTCAGACCTGAACCTACAGCAGAAACTTCACATTCGAGTTCTGATTGCTGATTGGCTGAAACAAGGCAGACATGTCTGACGTGACCCTAGACCAGACAAGGTTAGGACACTGTCAGCTACTGCTGTGTAAAAATTGGTCAGAAAAACTTGGGAGAAAGACTGCTCTATCCCGACTTCCTTTCTAGAGACATCTTCACTTATGTCAAAAAACTGGCTACTTGGCAAAAACACGTGTTTTAATTAAACCTGTATAGCAAGACCAGAGAAATACAAATCCTTTAAGAAACCCAAGAGAAAACAAGACGTGTAGGATGTTGGGAAAGGCCCGCCTGCCCCTTCAGGGAATCTCGGCATTGGGATTGGCTGTCTGGAGAGGGGCAGCCAGCCAAAAGGGGAAGCTTCCTGAGGTCATGTAGTTGGAGGAGGCAGAGTTCAGAGGTTCTTTATGTGACTTACCAGCATGGACTACCCTTTAATCAAAGAGTAGAGAGAAAGGACAAAGTTAAACCAAGTTCCCTGGGCACCAAGAAATCAACAGACTTTTAAAACAAAGCCATGTAAGGGCAGACAAGAGAGTGAGACAGAGGTAACTGTAAAAGTTTGCCAATAAAACAAACTGTACCATCAAAGAAAAAAAAACAAGGCGTGAGAGGGTTTAAATGGAATCAAAGAATGTCTCAGTCAGACCTGGGCAAATCGGATATCGAATGAATTTCAACTTTGTGCCTTGAACCTGCATGGCACTTGAATCTGACAGCGGCTGTCTCCACATATGGGTCTGTCCCAGGGTCCAGGCAGATATATCAAGTGCTCTTCAAATGAACCCTTTGAAACTCATTCAACCTCATCTTTAGCCCAGGTCTGGCATGGCACTTCTTGGGAGACATGGCACAGGTTGCTGCTGTGGGGAATGGCTGAATGTCAACGAAAGAACAACTTACCAGGCTGTCTGGACCAGAGTCTGGTTCTTCTCACATTCCAGGACTTGAAGGTACATGAAGATTATCTAGAAGGATTATATAATAATATTTTCACAAGGAATAACACATACCAAGACCAATTAACTATTCAGAAATATATTTTTGTTTCAACTACAGAGAAACACCTCAAAGCTGTAATCAATGATGTCCACTGTGTGTCCTTTAACTCACCTTGTGAGGATGCTTGACGTGCACACAGAAGCCCAGCTCCTTCAGGACCCGCCTTTCAGCTTTGATAACTTGATTTTTGGTATTTATGTAGTTCTGATCAAGTATCAATGGACTTGGAGTCCTAGTTTATGAAGAATCAAAACAAAATAAAGGTTCCTATTTTCAAAGTACAGGAGAAAGAAAGTGCCCTTCTGATTTCTTGTTCTCTTTGACTTTTTCCCCTTTTCAACCAACTTAAAGCAACAGGTTTAACTGTCTGCATGCCTGACAGTTTGCGGGGGTTTGGGGACTCCTGCGGTTCTTTTGAAACATGTGGGATCTTTAAAGACAGTCCTCAGACTCAATCCACCCAGTGATGTGGCTTAGACAGAAATATCAACTTCAGCATCTATCAAAATTAAAACATTGACACCAACAGCATTGAGATAGACATTAAGATAGATAGATATACACATATGTATAATCACATATGTATAATCACATATGTATGGTCACATATAAAACAGTACTTATAGCTAGAAAAATGCCTTTGTAATTTACCACAAATCTTGGAACAGACACAGAGCAGCTATGAGACTATTAAGAAAAACTAATTTCAAATACCAACATGTGTACAAAGCACAGTGAAGCATCAACCAAATACATAAACACTTAAATGATACAATGGTAATGTATCAGCTTCAAAATCAAGGAGTTTTTTCAAGCACTAACACAGTAATCCCTTCATACAGTTTTCTAAAATGCTGCCAGAAAACTCTTCATATTTCTAATACTTGTTCGAGTAAAGAACACAGTGTGTGTGTATTTCTGTAGCAGGGACACAGTAAGTGTGAATAATGTCATGCTTCAAACCACATAAACAGGGAAAACCCAGCATGAACATAACAACAAGATCCAATCGAGGGCCCAGACTAGTCCTAGAAGACATTTGCTCTTAGAGGATTGTAAATACAATGTAATGCCAGTTTATGTAAACTGCACAACAGACAGAATGCAAAAACGCATGCAAATGCCTAATCCAAACGAGGCAGAAATGCTGTGATATCTTACTGAACTAGTTGATATTTCTATTAAAGCCACAAGTAACATTTGGTGAATGAGGTTTTGCTCTTTGAGCAAAACATTACATGATGAGGAGCAGTCATAAGAGAACTACATTACCCAAAGGTCCGCAGACAGACAGATACCCACAGCTTAAGAGTGAACCACAGGAGTCCTCAACACGCCCAGGGGCCATGGATTTTCGGCCAACCTGTCATCCCCGATCCCAGTGCCCCGCGGTGACTCAGACCACGGGCGTCTCCCACAGCAGGGGGTGGGTTGGGCCTGGGGGAGGAGGAGAGACCCCCTCACATCATGGTTGTCATGCCGACTGCTTCATCTTACGTACCATTCCACATCACCCAGGCATTGGTAAATGTAGCTGGTCGCTGTTAGTTGGTTGCAAGGGAAAAAAGAATCCAAGTTAATGGACAGGTACTTAGTACCAACATGAGCAAATTTCTATGAAGACATAGGCATGTGAAAATTATTCAGCTTTGCCTCGTCTTGCAATGAAATCCTTTATAGTGACTTTGGATGTTATTTTAAGTGTAATGTCAAACTGTCATATTAGACAATTACACTTTGGAAAGTGATTTGGAAACTGAAAAGTTTTAAAATGGTTTAGAGTACAGGAAATACAGAAAGGCACTTTCACAACAGAACAGTTCATTACCAAACAGCATTAGCCTATAAGTAGAACTGGAAAGAAATGTGTTGATTTCAAAACAAACATTCAGAATATTGGTAAAGTTTTGCTTACTTTTTCACTCTCATCTGCCGTAGATGATGGAAAACATTGATGACGTCTCGTATTCGCCGTGGAGCTTCTTCAATCTTAGAAGCCAAGTTGATGCAAGCCATTGCAACAATCTGTGGAGATAACAGCAGAGTTGGAAGGAAGAGTTCAAGCACAGAACACAGGGACACGTGACCATATAGCAATGTATTCAAACACTGGAAATATTTATACTCTGGATGGGGCAAAGGATGACATTTACATAGAATATAAAAAATATTAATTTAACTTGAATCTATTTTAAGACTTCATTGAATACAAGACACGATGTTGCAAATCTGATACTACGTTTTCCTGGTTTATTATTTAATATTTATCGTCACAACAAAGATCTGATATTTGCGTTGTGACTTCATAAAAAAATTACGATTTTAACTTTAAGGTATTTATCATGTGTTACAGATTTGAAAATAGAACGGCACATCTTTGGTACATTTTAAGTGGCTTAAAACTGGGGGAAACCCCGTGCGCG